TCTTGTCTCATTGCTCTGGCTGGGACTTCCAGTACTACACTGAGTAGAAGTGGCAAGAGTGGGCATCCTTCTGGTTTTAGATGTTAGAGGAAAAGCTTTCACGTTTTCCTTGTTCAGTATATTAGCTTGTCCTTTTTGGCTTTTATTGGGTTGAAGTACATTCCTTCTGTTGATAGTTTTGATCATGAAAGGATGTTGAATTTTGTCAAATACTTTCTCTGCATTTTTTGAGATGATCATGTGTTTTTTAATCCTTCATTCTGTCAGTGTGGTGTATCACAGCTACTGATTTGCATATGTTGAACTGTCCTTGCATCCTAGGGATAAATCCCACTTAATCATGGTATATGATTCTTCTAATATGTTGTCAAATCTGGTTTGCTTGTGTTTTGTTGAAGATTTTTGTGTCTGTTCAAAGATTTGGCCCATAGTTTTCTTGTGTGTTTGTCTGTCTTTGGTATCAGGATAATTCTGGCCTTATAGAATGAATGTGGAAATGTTCCCTTTTCCTCATTGTTTTTGGAAAAGCTTGAGGATTGGTGCTGGTTTGATGGAGGGCTGGCCATAGTGGCTCATGCCTGTAATCCCAGCACTTGGGGAAACTGAGAAAGGAGGCTCTCTTGCCAGAAGTTAGACCCTATCTCTACCAAAAAAAATACATAAATGAATAAATATATTATGCTGGGTGTGGTAGTTCATGCCTGTAGTCTCAGCTACTTGGAAGGCTGACACAGGAGGTTCACTTGAGGACAGGAGTTTGAGGCTGCAGTAAGCTATGATCACACCATTGTACTCCATCTTGGGTAACAGAATATGAGACCCTGTCTCAACGAAGTTTGGTAGGATTCACCATGTGGTCTTAGACTCTTTGTTGGGAAACGTTTGACTACTGATTAAAAATTTCTACCAGTTAATAGACCTTTAGATTACCTGTTGTTTTTGTTTTTTCATGATCCAGTCTTTGTTAGGTTGTATTTCAAGACTGGGTGTATGAGTCATCATACGTGTAATGCCAGCACTTTGGGAGGCTGAAGCAGGTGAATTGCTTGAGCCCAGGAGTTTGAGACCAGCCTGGGCAGCATGGTGAAACCCCATCTCTACAAAAAAAAAATACAAAAAATAACATGGATGTGATGGCTACTTGGGAGGATCACCTGAGCCTGGGAGGTCAAGGCTGCAGTGAGCAGTGACTACACCACTGGGCTTCAGCCTGGGCAACAGAGGGAGACCCTGTCCACCCCCTATCCCCCAATTTTTTTTTTTTTTTGAGTTGTGTATTTCTAGGAATGTATCTGTTATATCCAGGTCATCCAGTTTGTTTACATATAATTGTTCATAGCATTCTCAGTCCTTTTTAGATCTGTAAAATCAGCTGTAATGTTCCCTCTGGTAGTTATTTGATGGTTCTTTTTCTGTTGGTCTTACTAAAGGTTTGTTGATTTGATCTTTTCAAAGAACTGTTGACTTTAATTTTTTTTTTCTATTTTCTGTAGTCTTATTTTGTTTATCTCCAATATTACTTCCTTCAGTTACATTTAATTCTACTTTTTCCAGTACTTAAGTTAGGTTGATATAATCTTTCTTTTAAAATTTCCTTGGGATTTAGTTTTTAATCCATTGGTGGTTAGAGTCAGTTTAACTTAAACATATTTGTGGATTTTCCTCTTTTCCTTTAGCTTTTGATTTCTGGCTTCATGCCATTGTAATCAGAAGAGATACTTTGTATGATTTCTAGTCTTTTAAAATTGTTAAGACTTACTTTGTGACCTAACATACAGTTTGTCTTGGAGAATGTTCCATGTGCACTAGGGAACAATGTGTATTCTGTTAGACTGAATGTTAAGTCCAGTTGATGTATAGTCCTGTGTTTTCTTATTAGTCCTGCTATCTATCTAATCGTTTGATCTGTTACTGAAAGTGGACTGTTGAAGTCTTCTACTGTTACTGTAGAGCTGTCTGCTTCTCCCTTCATTGTGTCAGTGTTTGCTTCATATATTTAGAGCTCTGATGTTTGGTGCATATATGTATTTATAATTGCTAGGTCTTATTGGTGAATTAATCTTTTTATCATTATAGAATGTTGTTCTTTTGTCTCTTGTAACATTGTAGACTTGGTCTATTTTGTCTGATTTAGTGTAGCTAACCCTGTTCTCTTTCGGTTGCTATATGTGTGGGACATCTCTTTCCACTCTTACTTTCAACTTGTGTGTCCTTAGATCTACATTGAGTCTCTGTAAACAGCATATAATTGGATCCAGGTTTTTAATCCATTCTGTCATTGTCTTTTGGTTGGGGCATTTAATCCATTTACATTTAAGGTAATTACTGATAAAGACACAGTATTTTTTTGTTTTCTGTATGTTATAGCTTCTTTGTCCTTCATTTCTTTCCTCACTTTTTTTTTTTATATTTTATAAAATATATTTTATATTATAGTGGTATGTTTCAGTTTCCTTTGGTGTATATTCAGTATTTTCTTTGTGGTTACCACGGGGATTACATGAAATATGCTAAAGTTAAAACAATTTATTTTAAACTGATAAAAACTTCAATTGCATATAAAAACTCCTTTACAACACTACCCTCTTCCTCCTGTGTTACTGATATCACACATTATGTCTTTACAAACCATTTTTTTTTTTTTTTTTTTTTTTTTAAGGAGACAGAGTCTCACTCTGTCACCCAAGCTGGAATGCAGTGGTGCAATCTTGGCTCACTGCAACTTTGGCCTCCTGGGTTCAAGCAATTCTTGTGCCTCAGCCTCCCGAGTAGCTTGAATTACAGATGCTCCCCACTATGCCCAGCTAATTTTTCTATTTTTAGTAGAGATGGGATTTTGCCATGTTGGCCAGGCTGGTCTTGAACACGTGACCTCAAGTGTTTTGCTTGTCTGGGCCTCCTGAATTGCTGGCATTACAAACATGAGCCACTGTACCTGGCACAAACCAAATTTTAATACAAGTTTCGATATTCTTTGCCAGAGAACTTTATATTTTCACATGGCTTTGAGTTATTAGTTTCCTTTTGTTTCAACTTGAAAGATTCCTTTTAGTATTTCTGTAGGGCAAATCCAATGGTAAAACTCCTTTGAATTTTTTTTTTTTTTAATCTGAGAACTTCTTTGTTTTTGAAGGACAGTTTTGCAGGACATATGACAAGTGTTTTTTTGTTTTTTGTTTTTTTTTTTAGATGGAGTCTTGCACTGTTGCCCAGGCTGTAGTGCAGTGGCATGATGTTGGCTCACTGCAATCTCAACCTCCTAGGTTCAAGCAGTTCTCCTGCCTCAGCCTCCCGAGTAGCTGGGACTACAGGTGTGTGCCACCATGCCCAGCTAATTTTTTTTTAATTTTTAGTAGAGACGGAGTTTCACCATGTTGGCCAGGATGGTCTAAATCTCCTGACCTGGTGATCCGCCTGCCTCCACCTTCCAAAGTGCTGGGATTACAGGTGTGAGCCACCGTGCCCAGCCAAGCATTTCCTTTTTTAAGCTCTCTGCCCTTTTTCTCTTCTGGGACTCCCATAATACCTATATTGGTCTGCTTGGTGTAGTCAAATCTCTTAAGCTAGTCCCTTCTTTTTTTCCTCTTCAGGCTTTTCAAATTTTAATTTAGCTTTATAGAGATGGGGGTCTCACCATGTTGCCTAGGCTGGTCTTGAACTCCTAGACTCAGGCAGTCCTCCCACCTTGGCCTCCCAAAGTTTTGGGATTACAGGCAAGCCACCATGTCTGGCCTGCTCTTCAGACTTGATAACTTCAAATGTTCTGTCTTCAAGTTTCCTGATTCTTTCCTCTGCCTGTTTGAGTCTGCTGTTAAATCCTGCTAGTGATTCCTACTTCCCCTCTCCCCATTCAGTTACTCCGTTTTACAGCTCCAGAATGTTTGGATTTAGAAATAATTTTCTTTGTTGATATTCTCACTTGTTCATATAATTGCTTAATTTTACTTGTTCACATTCTCCTTTAGCTCATTGAGGATATTTCACAGTTGTTCTTAAGTTTTTATAGAGTAAGTCAGTAGCCTCTGTTCTGTTTTTTTTTTTTTAAGACTTAGTCTTGCTCTGTTGCCAGACTGGAGTGCAGTGGGGCAATTTTGGCTCACTCCAATCTCTGGCACCTGGGTTTCAAGCGATTCTCCTGCTGGGACTACAGGCATGTGCCACCACACCCAGCTAAATTTTGTATTTGTTTAGTAGAGACGGGATCTCACCATGTTTACCAGGATGGTCTTGATGTATTGACCCCGTGATCTGCCCACCTTGGCCTCCCAAAGTGATGGGATTACAGGCGTGAGCCAGTGCGCCTGGCCGCCTCTGTTTCTTTAGAGTTGATTTGTGGAGATTTGTTTCTTTCAGTCGTCTGTGTTTCCCTATTTCTTTATGTGCCTTGTGGTCTTCTGTGAAATTCAGGCATTCGTAAAACCAGCCACCTGTCCCCTTGCAGACTGGCTCCATACATGGAAAGGCCTTCACTGATTAGCCCACCTTAAAGGCTTGGTGTCCTCTCAGACTTTTTCGAGGGATGCATCTTCCCTGGGCCTGTGCATATGCATTAGTTCTAGTTTCCTCCTATACACAGCTGCGTTTCAGTTTTTCTTAGTTTTCCTGAGTTTGACTCTGGCCTCCTCTTGTAGCCTTAGCTGTTTTGTTTTATTCCTCTGCCTGTGATTGCTTGCACACAGGTTTCTGAAGGTCTGTGTTCGCCTGTAGCTCATTCATTCCATGGTACTCTATCATTGCTTTCAGCTGTTTCCGACCTCCTGTCCAAACTATGCCATTATTCCCATTAACATTCTGATTCAGGCAAGACAGAAAGCAGTCCCTTAGGCACGTCCACACAAGCCAGAACATTGCAGGCCAGTTCTTTATGTCCTGAGGGAAGAGCCAGGGTAGTTTTCTTCTGACTGTATTGCACTGTGGAGGGAGTGTGGCAAGAGTGAGCAAAAATGCCATGAAATTTCCTGCTACTTTGAGCGTGGCTTTTTCTTGGATAGGTGGTTCCTTTGGTTGCTGCTCAACTGGTTTCTAGAGTTCTCATAAAACTAAACAGTTTTTAATTTTTGGTCTATATGTTCATTATCTTGTGGGGGTTTGGGGGCCTGGGGCTTCACAGTCTGTTGTCTTGCTGACATATTACTTTATATGTTCAAAATCATTTTTACAGGTTATGCTGTTAATTGCTAGATTGGTATTATGCATGTTACACTTTGAGAAGTCACTTTTAAAAAGTATTTATGACAGTATAGTTTGTTAGGTGAGTGTTAACGAGTGACTAGCTGGACTTCCATAGATCCTGGTTTGGTGTGTTGTATCCACAAGATCTTTATGCCTCATGGACAGTGTGAATTAAAGTTCTATGTCTAGAAAAGGACTGACTGGTGTGCTGATGAAAAGGTCATCTACTAAATTGACTTAATAGCATGTATGAAGTACCTGATGAGACTTCCTAGTCTGGAATCTTACGTGTAGATTTAACTTCATTCAAGCCCAACAGAAAAGAAAAATGTAAAGTTTCTATTTGCCACTTCAGTCTGGGTTTATGGCCTGTAAATGAGTGTGCTGTGACTCGGAGAATGTGAATCTGCTATTTTGTCAGGCTGTTCCTAAATATTTCAGTTGCACTATATATGGGGGTTACAGCCCAATAAACCTTTTATGTTGAGAATATCATGTCAAAAATGCATTTAAGACCCCCAAAAACCCATTATAGAGTCAAAAAATTGTAAGTCAAACCATCATAAGTTGGGTACCATGTGTATTAAGGAAAAAAGATCAAGAAAATATTAATGGCTGTTTATAATCTTAACATATCTGCTTTAACTTTGAAATTTTCAGAATTTACAGTGAGCATGCATTTTATAATCAGAAGATGTTAATAGGCTAACTTAAATTTGTTAGATATTTACCATTATTATTTTTAAGATTATGTTTAAAAACCTATGAGAGCAGATTTGGAGATAGGAACATAAATATTGCTTGGAACAGAAACAGTATGTGGCTATAAGAGGGAATGGGGGTGGGGGTAGAATTGAGAAGGAAAAAAGCAGAATTTGTTAAATGAAAGCGAGAAATCAGAGTAAGATGTGGTATGCCCAGAATGGAAGAGATGCTATTCAGAGTGGTCAGGGAGCTTAAAGGAGAGTGAACTTGGAGTCCAGGTGGCCTGAACTGTGGTTTTTCTGTGGGTGAGTGACCGAGGTAAGACATCTACTAGTAGGAATAGACCTCAGTTGATCCTCAAAGATATTGGATGTTGAGAGAATGTTTATCATTAACTTAGCCTTTGTGTTTCTCTTCACAGAATTTCTTCAGGTTGAATTACCTAGAAGTTTGTCACTGACTCGGGTTCCTGAACTATGACACATGAATATGTGGGCTAAGAAATAGTTTCTCTTGATGAATAAACAATTAACAAATACTTTGGACAGTAAGTCTCTCAGTTCTTAATGACAATGCAGGGCACTTTAATAGCATCAGAATTGGTTTGGGATTTAACTGTTGATAAAGCTAACTTGATTTCTGTGTTCTTTAAAATTTCATTGGTCTAGCACCTCTTTAACTGCAATAGTTTGCCTGTTTCATTGAGATACTCCTAGGTGCAGTAACTTGGCCTGGGCCATGGATTAAAGTGTTCTTCATGAACCTATAAGACTACTGTGGGCTCTAAGAAGAGACAGAATCCTAATAAAATCTGTCCTTGGCCTTCATTGCCACTATTTGGTAGCTGTGCCACCACCAGATAGATGAAATAGGTAATTCAAATGTAGGGTTTCTTACTCAGTATTTCTTTATTAATAACAAGCTAACAGTACGTAACAGAATTTGTATATATATCTAATCCAGAAAAAGTTACTTAACTAGAATTGAATGTCTGCTAATGACTAGCAGAGTATGGTACTTTTTCACAGGTGGTCTTAGGACATTAATTCATGCTTATTTGCAAGCAAAGTGATACTGGAGAGGTTGGGAAAAAAAACGCTTATTTTCTTCAAAGCTAATTTAATCAGTCACTTTATTAAGATAACAAAACCTATGTATTACCCTGTTTAACTTGTGTAAAATTCACAGTGATGTGAGCTATATTAAACTCGGGTATTAGTGAAAATTGGCATTGTAAAACCTGTTGGTAACAGTAGACATCTGTAGGTGGTCAGTAATTCAAGGATACCTTTTATTTTAAACAGTCGTTCATATCAATATGCAAAATTACCATAAGATACAAGGATTAATATTTATTTACATTTTTAAAAATAGTTACTCTTGAGGTTGACAACTGTCACTTTCCTAAATGAGTATTACAGAACAAACTGAAAGAGCCGTTTTTCATAGTCAGAATTGTTCATTAAAACTTGCTTTCCAGGAACAATTACAGAGTGACTTCTTAGCCCAACATGTGAGATTTAAAGATCAGAGATTATCGGGCATGATGGCTCACACCTGTCATCTCAGCAGTTTGGGAGGCAGAGGCAGAGGAGTGCTTGAACTCAGGAGTATGAGACCACCAGCCTGGGCAACAGAGTGAGACCTCATCTCTAGAAAAAAATTTAAAAATCAGCCAGGTATGGTGGTGTATACCTGTGGTGGTGGTGTAGTCCCAACTGCTTGGGAGGCTGGAGTGAGATCACTTAAGTCCAGGAAGTGAGCTTGAGCTGCAGTGAGCCATGATTGTTCCACTGTACTCTAGCCTGGGTGACAGAATGAGACCCTGTCTCCAAAAAAAAAAAAAAAACAAAAACAAAAAAACCAATAATGGGCATTTAAAATTGCATTCTCTTAGCATCTCAAAATTGTAGGTAACAAGCTGTAGACCCAAGTTTAAATGTAATCAGTAAACATGTTCTAAGTTACCGGATGATTTACTGAACATTTAAGATATCTGATGACCCAAGATCTTGAGTCAAACCCATTCTTAGATGCAAAATATTAGACACTGGGAATATCTTAATGCTTTGTCGAGTCAATTCCACAGAATAACGATCTGGACTGGTATTGTTAGCATTAATATTGGGGTTCTTGTGTGCTCCACAGTGTACCAGGGAGTTCCCATGATGTATGTTTTGTTTATGGAACCAGGCAAACTCACTTGAGCACTTTGGGACTGGATTCAATAAAGGACAAAAGATTTACTCAAAGTTTGCTTAGTCAAACACAAACTGGAAAAACACTTTTTCTAAAATGCACCTGGACAGTAATGATACTGTTTTGTAAATTTTAGTAAAATGCAGACTTCAGAGGAAATATACATAGCAGCTTTCAGTAAAAGAACAGCATTGCAGTTAAATGACAAATATCACAAGCCACAAAGTCCTAAGCATTTCATTTAAAGAATCCTAGGCCTTTGCAGACAAAGGAGCATGAGGCCAAGGTGGTGACTCAGCACAAAAACAGATGCAGCTTGAGGTTTTAACTTTGGTTCTCCACTCTAAGGCCTGGTCACATTCTGTGATGGAACAGTGTTAACAGATCCAAATTATAGTAGAAATTTTTGCAAGTGTCATAGAACAACAACAAAAAAATGCATCTTCTATATGTGGTAAGAACATAAAGGGCCCTGTTAATCATTGTCTCCAAGTGGGAAAGGAGCACTTTTTTTTTTTTTTTTTTTTGGTCACTTTGTAGTGTCTTTTAGAGGTAAGGATCTAAATACTAAACGAAACTGTGACGCTATAAGAAACTGTTGGCCTTGTGTCCATACTGGATGTTAAAGCTGATGAAGCTTTTTTAAAAAATGGCAGCCCTGTATGGTGGCATGTGCCTGCAGTCCCAGCTGCTTGTGGGTTGAGGTGGGAAGATTGCTTGAACCCCAGAATTTGAGATCAGCATGGGAATACAGTGAGACCCTGTCTCAAACCCAAAAACTAAATCACACAAGCAGGAATCAATCAGCATCTCAGAGGGGACTCAAGGAAACCCTTTCCTCAGGGCTTTATTTTTCACCATGGTAAATTTACTAATGAAGACCTGAGCGAAATGCGGATCAACCAAGTAATGGTATGTTTTAACAGTGGAGGGGGGAGGTTCTGCAGCCACCACAGGGCATGGTGTTAGCATGGAGGAGCAGCTGGGGGCCAGATGACAAGATGTCTTTGTGATATAGTCCACAAGTCTGTTGTACTGTTGCTCTGACAGTCTCTCTCGGACTCCGTCTACCTAGGATCCAAAAATAAAGATTAATCAATTACTAGACCCTTATGCGAGTTCCGGAACAAAATAATTGTTTTTTGCCTTGATGCAGTTGTACGTTATGCCTTTTAGGTCATCTATTAACGCCATTACCAAAACAATGTTTCCATTTTTTCTCTCAGATAATAATGCAGTTTTAGCAGTATAACAAAAGCTGTACATGAGACTATCATCAGTACAGCCTCCTTTGAATAAGCATTTAGTGTTGCATAAAATTCCCATGTTTGAAACCTTATGATTTGATAACATTCTGCTCATTAATTATTATAACATTTGTCATTGCTCTTTAGCAAACAGCCCAAGAAGAAAAAAATCTTTCCTCTGCATAAATCTAATCAACATTAAACTCAGCACTGAAATAAAAGCTCTGTTTGCCTGGCTCCCCATACCTCTTCAGATATAGAAGGTCTTAAAGTGGAGAACACCACTTCTTTCAAACCAGTGGCTTTGGACAGAGTATTAAAAAAAAAATGCCATTTGAACTGTAACATTTTCTGATTTTATAAAAGTCCTAGGATTTAAAGCCAGAAAAAATAGAAAAACTGGGCAGCGGAAGGGGAAATTTTTATGGAAAATAGGATGCGAAGTACATTTATGGTTCATAAAAGTCTGGCTCATCTTCAGTGAAACACAAATAGAACTGAGATATACTAGGTTCTTCAGTGAGATTTTCTGAGAAAGCGCTCATCAAAGGCAGTTGAAGCTATAAATTCTTCCCACCATGAAGTCTGATGGGTATCTAGTGTGTAGATCAAGTGGAGTTGGAAGTTTGCAGTTGTAAGCCACTGATTTGTGAAACTCAGGTAGCCACCAAACTTTCCCTGGATTTTGCCTACTGAACGTTGGCAAGACTACTCTAGAAAAAGTGGTAATGTAAAGACTTTCTAGTTCTGTGTGTGGCCCAGAGATAATGCAATCAAAGTGTCTTAAAAGCTGGAGAAAGCCCTTGTGACAGCAGAGATATAGTAAAGGGGTTTGCTAAAGGAATAAGCAGGGAATCCCTTAGAGTTTGGATCCTGTGGTGTTAAGCTTGGGGAAAAGTCCCAAAAGATTCACTAACAGATGAAAGCTGTGCACCACCAGGCAAAAGCCAGAGCTCTGATATCATTTGATGGGGCCAGAATTCAGCTGGAAAGCTTTGAATACACAAAGATTTAATTGCTCCTCCTGAACAGCAGCACAGGAAAACCCGTGTTGTGAAAGGAACCCAGCCAAGGAATAAATTGACCTTCTGACTCATTCTGAGCCTCTCATAAGGGATTTCAATAATGTGCCAGGCATATTAAGCAATTATTACCCCTAAACTGGTTTCATTTAACCAAGAAAAGCAAATGCTGATTTAAAAAAAATTTCAATCCTGCCATACTTAAATGTACCACATGATGTCATCTACAAATTAATTCCTTCCAAAATTCAAAGGAGCTGTGTTTCCTAGCATCTCGGGCAAAAGCTAAAAAACAGAAAAGTTGTTTATACAGAGATCTTAAAATACTGCTTTTAGTCTTCACTGGAAGTGTTCAGAGCAGACAGGCTTCCTTATGTCTGTGGATTATGTTGGGATGCACTAAGAGCCAGGCAGCTTAAGAAAGATCACTGATAAGGCAGTACTGCTGGCCACCCTCCCCTGCCCACTCATTTGAAAATACCTTGGATTACAGCACTTGGGAGGGTTTAGTCTCAGATGCTCTGCAGCATGAGTTTTCTTGGGGGTGGGTAGGAGAGGTTAGGTTATAGACACAGGATCAAGGGAACAGTTACTCCTATTTATGACTTAAGAAGTAAAGTGGAATAGAGAAAGCAGAATGTGGAGGCTTAAGGCACACTGGCCCATCCACCTTCTGGCCAGTACCCAGCTTTGGCTGTGTGGGCACAGTGCTTCTGCCTTCAGTCATGTCTTCCCATCTCTGTTTTAGGCCTTCCTTAATACCAACCCTCTTTTAGCCCTGGATACCAGTGGAAAATCAGTGTTAAAAATCGTATCCAGAGCTTTAGTGCTGCTTCCTCTGATGCCACAGTCCCAATAATCTTGGCAACTTTTAGGTGTGGTGACTTCAGATATGACCTCAATAACCCCTAGAGAAACTGAGGTCTGTTCCCCTCTAGCTATGATGATTCTCCACAGTACCTGCCTCAAACACAAAAGAGAAAGATCACAGTTGAAGACAGAGACAGTTCAATGGCAAAAGAATCTCCAGTCTCAATAGTTTAAGATCTGAAATATTTCCCAAGCAGCTAAGGATTAATGATGGCCACAGGGCCTTGGAGGTTTCTCATTAAGGACTAAAGACTTGATGGTAATGATATCCCTTGCCAAATCCTGTAGCCAGATCACCGCTGCTTTATTGTCAACTGATCAGAAGATTTTGGCAGATCTAGTAAAGTCAGCCTGGACATCTGACCTCTGTTTATTCCCAGAAAGTCATCAACTCGAAGCAGCAATGTAGTCCTGGTGCCAAACCCTAGCTTAAAGCCTGACTATGATCATGATCCAAGAAACTAGAGAAATCTTAAGAGTTGTTGTGGTTGGCCGCTTTCCATCTTCTCAGATAATTTTACTCAAACAGTGGTGTGAGGGAGACAGGCTTCCATCCCAGGAAGAGGATAATGAAAGAAGGGATCAGGCAGGATCTGCTGGAGGCAGGTTTGCTGTCCTTTGCTGAGGCCACTCAATCCCCAGGTTAGGGCCAGCAGACTCTAGTTTGCCACTGATCCACCACTGTCTTGCTATGTGAGAAAAGACGTCTGTTTTTAGGTAAATAATTAGGGTCTTACGGATCAGGCCATCATCCGGGAAGGAAGGGCAAAGAGCAGTTTTCTATTAGGTGCACCTGTTTACCCTGGGCTGGACTACAGGAAGCTGAGGTCTTTCTGGTCAGAGCTCACCTCTGACTCCTGACACCTAGTATGCCTTGCCTGAGCATCGTTCCACATTAATTTGTGCATGCCAGGAGCCAGCCACAGAGCTGCCCCAAGAGCCTAAGTGTCATCCCCAGGGGTAACTCTCTGGTAGTTAAGGGCTGGGAAACTATCCTGTGGGAAAGACAACAGCCAGAGAAAACCAGTGGATTTGAAAGACAGACCAACTCCAAAATGTTGATCCTTGAAGTCTCCAGGTTGGGGGGTATGGGAGGGAGTGGAGAGTCTTGTTTCATGATGCCCCTTGCTTCTGCAGTGGGCCTCTCCAGCATCCACAGACCTGCTGCGGCCAGTTGCAGGCCTCAGGCAGCCAAGGACCTGACTTTAGGCTTTCAGATCAGTGGCCTCCTTTGTGGAGTAGTTGCCTGGAATTGCTGCCCCAATCCTGGCCCTTCCTATACCGACCCACTCGTTTTGGAACTTCATTATCATGTCCTGTCCATTGAGCACCCCAGCCCCATGACGGCCACGTCAGATCAGCCTCATTCAATTCACATGGTGACTTAGCCCCAGACCTTGAGTTCTGCTGGCTGCCTGCGGGGCTCTCCATGTGCACCTCTGGGTGGGGGCTTCCCAGTGCCCTTTTGTAGTGGCCTTCTGGCCTCCACACTCCCACCTCTGGGTAACAGCTCTCCTTGGTCTCCAGCAGCTACCCAGAGGCTGTAGCTCATAAATGCCTGGGTACCATAATCAGCCTGCTTCTCAACCTCCCTGGCAGCTAGTCTTGGTCGCCTTGTTTTCTGAAACATACCTCCACATCACAAGCCACTCTTGGCTGCTTGAGCTGCACTGTGAGTAGATTGTTCTGTTTGCTGTCCTGTGCACAGTCGATCTCTGTGATGGGGAAGGCCTGCTGCTGTGTGTCCTCACTGACACTCACCACGAAGAGCACTTCTGACGTCAGCAGCAAGCACCCTTCATGCTCCTGGCCTGAGCCCCTCACCAGAATCACATCCAGGGCCATGTGTACTTCTGGTCTGCCCAGAGACTGAAGCATTTTCCTGTTTAAAAGGAGAAAAGTGAGGCCAGGGGACAGATTTGAAAAGATGGTCACTTATCAGTGCTCATTATTTACCAATGGATGGGGCAACACCATAGAAAGCTCCCCAAGGGCAAAGGGCCCTCACCAATTATTCATTTTAGCTTGAAATGTAGTTGTCAACTGATTCTGGCTAACAAAACCAGCTTCCTCCTGGGAACAAAGATTGGCTTTGCCTAACTCCTTTTCTTCCCATTAGAAATGACACCTCTAATTAGAGTGCTGGTTGCACAGGGAATCTTAGGCCCTCTAGCAAGACTGGGCTTCTCTGCCAATGTGTGACCTTCCTTGAGTGGTCATGTATGGAGTAGAGGAGTTGTGCAGCCAGCCCCAAACCTGGGAACAGCAGCCTCTTCCTGTCCCTCTACAGTGCACTTGTGCCTGAGATACCAGTGCCAACAATGGCCACTCCTGGGCTCCCTGGAAGCGTGGCTCATTATCTTGAGAGCAAGCCAGGAGCTATTAACATACAGTATGGATGTAAAGTTGAGCAAGTGTCTCAATAATTTTACCAGACATATTTGACATGGCTGTTTGGAGCCTGGTCAGCATGTAGATCACTTGGCTGATAGCGCTGTTTGGGAAGTTGAGAAAGTCCAGCTCCATGTAAAATACCTGTGGTAAGAGAAGTAAGAGAGTTTTACTAGTTGTTTTCTGGAAAACAGTTTCATGCTGCAATGATGTCATCTGCTCAGAGCCATCCATAAAACGTTACAGATCCAAAATGATGTCACATCTTTGGAAGCAAGTGTATAGATAATCTTTAAACATTACAATGCTCTTAACCTTGGTGATCTTGCATTAGTAACAAACTAAAATATGAATGTTACAGTCCAAGCATAGACTAGCAATTAGAGGAAGCAAAAATGCTCCTGAGAGAGGCTGGTCATGAGCAATAGCTTAGACATCATTTGTAATTGATGTGTTAAGAAAAGTCTAGATAGGTCAGTCTGGTATGGTGGCTTATGCCTTAATCCCAGAAGTTTGAGAGGTCAAATCAAGGTGGGAGGATTGCTTGAGTCAAGGAGTTAAGAGACCAGCCTGGGAAACAAAAGTGAGACCCCCATCTCTACAAAAAATAAATTAGCCAGGCATAGTGGTGCACGCCTGTAGTCCCAGCTACTCCAGAGGCTGAGGTGGGAGGATCACTTGAGCCCAGGAGTTGGAGGCTGCAGTGAGCTATGATTGTGCCACTGAATGCCAGCCTGGATGACAGCAAGACCCTGTGTCTTAAAAAAAAAAAAAAAAAAAAGTCTAGATTGTTAGTTGACTTCCTTAATATTAATACTTCTTTATCTGTGCTAGGGCTAGTCAGAAAATAAACACAACACACACATAGATATATACAAAGGCACACCCTTTGCCTAGATACAGTATTTAAATGCTAAGTGACTTAATCTAGCCGTTAAACACGAATCCATATACATTTATGAGCATGCGTGGGGTCTCTGGTTTATGACATGCTCTCCCTGGTGCCAGCACCAAATGAGGGCACCCAGCAGCAGCCACACAGGCCTTTACAGAGACTCTGCAGAACCAGAGATGGTACAGCATGTATGCTTTCAGAGGGCTTGTAAATGTTTATAAACGAGGCATAGTCATTAGACTAAGAGTTAGTGGTTTGTAAAACCTTCAGTTTGGTAATAAAAGTTTTACAAGAGTGATAGAAACCAAAAAGGCCATGTGAAGCTCTGCTCTGAGATCCTCTTACATAAGGGAGCATTCCTCAGCCCTGGGAAACACAGTGAGGGACAGTGGCATTTTCAAAACCAAAACAATTTATGAAGTATGACTTGACTTTACCTCACTGAGGTCTGCATCAAAAGGAATACTATTTTTATTCATATGTAAGCGCTTGATAAGGGAGAGTTTAACTTTTCCCACTTACAGGTTATAGCAAATCTTATTGTCAGTTTCCCTGTGAGTGAAAATGTCATTCACAGAAGGAGAGGGAAATGAGGGAGACGAGGGAAAGCGAAGAACATGTGCTGACATCTGTGTGGTCTCTTAAAGGATGCTTTCCGAATGGCTACCTGAGGTATGGGCACTCATTCATCTCTACTCCCTTCCTTTCAGATGCTGTTTTTATGCCCTGATCTGGCTGCTGCTTGTCAGGCCTGCTGAGGAGCAGGATGCCTGCCTTGAAACATCCCATGGGCTTTATGGCCAGATGTGGATGCAGACACAGTGTGCTCACATGTCTGACAAACCAGAGGGCACTCCTGTGGTTTGTGATACTAGCTAGACAGCCTGCTTCATGACCAAAATGATGACACCAATTTTAGGTAAAATGGTAACACACGTTTATGGAAAGTCACTTTAATGTATTCTGCCAAGAATGCAGAAAATGAGCCTGGGAGGAGGTGCTTCCTTTCACAGGCACCCACTACTCGTGTGCACACCGTTGCATGGGGAGAGGCCCTGGCACACCCCATCCAAGTGCAAGTAGAGCCCTGCGCCCATGCACTCCACGGCTGTCTGCCTGGGGAAAGGGCTTTTAGTTGTAGATTCTTTGCTTCTGCTGGCCAGGGGACTCAGCCTGGCTGCAGGGAGCGGGATGGTGGTTTTATGGGTGAGAAGGCCACCCCAAACCCAAAGATCCATGTGCACATCCAAACTCTGTCTCATTCTCTACTGCTTCTTAAAGTTATCTTCCCACAACCTCTCTCTCCTTCCACATTTCTCATAGGAAAAAGTCATAATTCTTTTCTCTACTGTATTCTCCATTCTGCCCTCCACCTCTAAACTGGTCACTCTTCATCACAGTCTATCAAGTGTACTGGAAAAAGATTCTATGACATATGTAGACTGAAACTAGTAACTGGTTTCCCAATTCTACGGTTTCATTATTTTTTGTTAGTAGTAAAAATCTACTCTGTAAATAAGCATAGAGAGGTGAAAAAGCCACTAGTTTGCTACTACTCTGCCGTGTGAAAGGTTACATTATCTTAGGAAACCCTTGGTATAATCATGCAAATCAGTAAAAAGTCTGGGTGGGCCTGATGGGTTTTCCACCGACTTACCATAGCCAGTCTGTGACACCAGCTCAGCGGCTCCTCCGATGGGCTTTGTGAACACCCCCATGATTCCTTTCCCCACACCTGAGATGACACCCTTGGCCTTGTGTCCTGCTGAAGCCTGTGCCTCAGATGTCTTCTGGAAGTTCTGCATCGGCTGATCAACGATACCAGCAATTGCACCTGGAACAACAAAAGCCCTCAGTAAGGACAGAGGCTTAAAATCCTCAGAAAAGGAAAGGCTCCATCTGGAACATAGTTTTATCTGGATTGAAAATGAGTCCCCACCCTCATTATAAAGGTTTTACTACCCATTTATTTACCAATTATCTACACTGAGGGCAGCAAACATTTATTATCATCACCAAAATACAATGTTCAGACAGTTTGGTTCACACAGTGAGGATCTGTGAAGTTCAGTTCAGAATTTCACAAACCTGTCAGAAATGCAAAGTGTGGCCCATATATCTTTCCTCAGAAATCAGGCAACACAGTTTAGAGGGAGAAGCTAACAATTCCTGAGGAGCAGAGAAAGACTGTTCAGCCTAATACATTTGCACTGACTGATTCATGAGGATGAAAAACCAGAAGGGGTTAGCCCCTTTCTAATGTTCCACTTTTAATAATAATCATAACAATCATAATAATTTAGTAGTATTAATAGATTAATACATAAGAGTAATTTGATATATTGATTATTTTGATTATAGGTAATCTATCTTGAATGCTTACAAGGTCTGGGGACCGTGTTCAGGAGATTTTCCCAAGATCATACAGCTGTTAAGTGCACAGAGGGTCTGAGTCACAGCATAGCTCTTAACCACCAAGATATTCACTTACCCTGTTTATAAAACAGGCTCTTCCTCTTTGCCAATCTTGGAAAACCTTTCTCTCTCACTTGAATTGAGGTTTGGCCACTTACTCCTCCTTGAGAATAGCGACCAAAATACCCTTTGCAGCCCTGCTCCCACAGCCGCAGCACAGGACATTGCCCGCACTGAGCCTGAGGGTTACAGATGAAAGGAGCCCCTCAGGCAGTCCTGTGGCTACAGCCCCTTGCTCCTCCTACTTGGAGAGGCCAAACATGAGAGCTAAAAAAGCCTCACCATTCTGATTTTTTTCATGATGGAGTGGAGGGTTCCCTGACTGAGAAAGAAGGGAACATTTCTTTAAAATTCTTGACAGAATTCTCTGTTTTCAACTCAAAGCTGCTAGGATTGGTTAAAATGCTCCAGCTGTGCACATAACATCAATTGTAAAGGAAATGTTCTTCATGGACTCCATTCCTCTAGGTTTTCATAGAGCCATTTAAGTATATGCACTAACATTCAGAATGAGCTGAGGCAACAGGCCTGTTTCCCAGCCTAGAGTTGTGCTGCCCAAACCACCTACAGAAACCACAAGGGTGAGCAGAGGAAGCTGCTCCCGGCGGGCCCAGGCGGGCCCAGGCAGCCCCAGCTGTCAAGGGTGAGGGGCAGACAGCCAGGCCTGGCTTTGGCTGGGAGTGCCCCTCACTTGCCAGTGACACTCCATTCTCTATCTGGAAGATTGGAAGTCAGAGTGGCCACACTGAGGGACAGGCAGGAACCCTCGGTCTTCTCTTCTAGTCACCTCAGCAGATTATCCAAATGAACAGCATCAAATCAGAGGGTGGAGTCACCCGCACAGCGCATTGACGGCCACCTGCTCCAGCACACACAGGTATTGGGTGAAGCCTCCTTTGTTCTGCTTTTCCACTTTCTCCAGCCACAGCGAAGGCTCCAGTTACTGTGGCTTTGACAGATACGACTGTTTGGGCAGCCCCCAAAGTGAAAAGCCTGAGCCCCATGACAAGGTGTTAGATTCTGAGAGTCAGAGAGGGAGCTGTGGGACCACCTGCCCCAAGCTTAGCAGCAGACCCTTGAGGGGGAAAGCTGGCCTGTCACACACACCAACACCTCTCCGGCCACCTGGTGCTTTATCTCCCTCTGTGCTCACAAGCTGGAGAACAGAGAGGCCGGAAAAGCGCAGCCGCTTCATGGTCCGTGTAGCCCTGCTTTGAGAGAGGCAGCTTCTCATAGAGCCTGGAATAGCTCTTCTCTGAAGTATAATCCAGCTAAATCCCACAACTGGTAAATTATTGACTGTCATAGCCTCAAACTCTGCTCGAAGGCTTTCAGGAGTGGAAACTGATCCCAAGACTTGCCTGCTGGCGTCAGGCCCGCGGGGTGGGCAGCCACATGGAGATGGCTGTGATCTGATGAAGCCAGTGAGGAGGGAAGAGCGTGCCTGGGAGGGGTTTCCAGGACTGAGTGAGTGCTGCATGTGGCACAACACAGGAGCGACTGCCTGTTGTGCCTTGGAAGAAAGAGGAGGGGGAGCAGGAAGAAGAGGAAGGCCTTCATTACGGAGTGGGAAACCATCAGGCCTTCCCTCGCCTCTTTCTGTCACTTGCTCCTAAGCCTTGGGCAGAACTTGGTCACTGAGCTCTGGAAGTTCCTGGTGATGTGGCTGTTTTGATGCTGCCTTTCCCATGTGGTGTAATTTTGTTTCTGGCATTTTTTTGGTCACACTATCAGAAACACAGGCATAAGATGGGATACCACGACACACCTCGCCATTCTGGAAAGAAACAAGACCCACAGAATATACTGCAGCGTTCCAGCTCGGCGCTTCTTTTTTGACCAGAACAGATGAGCAAATTGAAAAGGAAGCACTTTTGCCTGCTGTTCCTAAATTCCCCACTGACCGTAGTATACGTCAGTCTGCCATTGGCAGACAGTGGTATTGGAGGGATGACTCTTACGTGCTGTCTCTTGGGATGTGCAACTCTTGAGTCACCCCCTCAGAGGGGACTTTTTTTTTCTTTTAACAATGTAAAGAGGTTTTTAAAAAATTGTATATATGTAACATTTGCCAAAATTATTTAAAGTCAATAAATTTTTATTCAAGGGATTCCCTGTTGTGATATTTTCCACTGTTCAACAAGGTTACTTTAGATCCTCTAAAGAGCTGGAGTGAAAAGATTTCTTTTCAAGTTAGCCCTTTTTCATGAAACTGATGCTTATTTTAATCCAGTTGTCCTGTCAGCCCATACTCCTTTTATTTTGACTTCTGTCATCTCCTCTTCATATGGATATACTGATAAAGACTTCAAAATTCGTCAAGAATCACTGGGTCTAATTTCTTCAACCAATTTACTTTAGGGTCCTTTTTACTGTAGGTGGTGGATCTGCCTGGTTCTCAATTTGACACCCTCTCTTAACATATTCATCAAATCATATTGACTCCTAAGCGATCACACTCAAGAATAGTACACGTTTGGAAATATGCCAATACCTTTAACTCCAGACATCCTGTTCTCAAGATAAAAGTCTTTAAAACAAAAAGCCATCTTATATATCAAGTCAACATGAAATTGGAATGCAAAAGTAATACTGCTGAGGATTTCCCTCATAACTGGAGGGGACTTTTCCGATTCACCTGATGCAGGCCTGTTTTGCTGGGATTCCAGATGGCATAGCCAAAAGTGGCCAAGAGAGGGGGGTTGGTCTCTGGGGAATCCAGCAGCACGTCACAAACCAGGAAGTGACCCAAAAGAAGCAGGGATCAGAGAAGCAATTCTTGACATCCTGGTTTTGGTGTTCATGAGAAAGCATCAGGTCTGGGAGGAAACACGGAATGCAGCTGTGATGCAGAGCTTCACGTCCATTCTCAGTGCAGGCTCCAGAGTGTAATAGAAAGTGAGGGTGTTTGGGGAACAAATCTGGTAGATGCAGGCAAGGCTAATGCCAATACTGCAGGCTAAACAGAATTTTTCCAAGAGCCAGTGCTTTTGGAAAACTGTCATGGAGCTCATCCAAAAGGCTCTGCGGCATCTCTCAGCCAGCAGATACTTTTCCTTGCTGACCTGGGGCAATGCGGCTGGGCATATAGCTAAAGACTTCCTTCAATTTTCAAGAGCCTCATAATGCTCCACAGTGTCCCCGTGAGGGTGAAGCAGAGTCAAGAAGGCCCACCAAACCCATAAACATTGAGCGGAAATGTGTTTTTTCCTCTACTGGAACTTGTAATTGTTCAATCTCCCCACATCCTGATTATTTCCAGGCCTGGAGCCCCGCAGGGGTAGGTGACATGGTAGGAAGGCCCAGGCTTCTGTCCTTGCTGGAGGTTTGACCCGGCCAAGTCACTTCCCCTCATCCAAAGTGGTGAAGTTGTGAAGTTCTGTAGATAACTGAAGATCGGAGACAGGGCAAGTCCTTTCAAGCTCATCTTTTCTACCCTTTGCTCTGCACTGCTTTGGGTCACTTTGATCTCTGGGAGGCACACATTCCCTCAGATGTGCAGAAGGCACATTGCCAAGCAATGCAGTTTTAAATTCCATTGCAAACAAATAAACAAAAAATATCCTTGAAAATCCTGCCCTGAAAACGTTTAGCTCTGAAGCTTCCTTTTTATAGATTTCTTTAAAGCAACTTATTTTCAAACATTTGTAATATTTTGAAATATCCATAGCAATCTTCACCTCTAACTATACCATCTGGCTGCTCTACAAACAATAATTGCTCTGAGTCAGGCTGATCTCAAAAAAGTAAAGGGACAAAGTGGGCTCTTCACTGAAGTTTACATGACACTTGCATGTTGCTCTAGTGCTTCTCAAACAAAAGCAAGCATCTCAACATGTGTGGGAGTGAGGGAGCCAGTGCTTGGGAAGAGTTGCCCATCACGCTCTTCAGAAAGCAAACAGTCGGACGCCGCTGTCCTCGTGCAGACACCACTGTGCTCACAGGGGGTCCTATCAAATTAGGATTTCCTTTGAAGAACTTTAGTGAGGCCCAAGACACATTTCATACACAAAGCAAAGGCAGGCACTGCATGTGCAGCTGTGCAGGTGAGCCCCCGGCGGGACACACTGCAGGAGTCAGGGCAAGTGCCTTACCTTCTCTGAACATTTCCCGGCCATCCCCAGGGAGAAGGTGAAGTTGCCCAATCCTGGGAGACCATGCACCTCAGCCTGCTGGAGTCAGACAGGCGGGAGGCCCCGCAGCCCCTTACCAAGCAGGCTGATGCCCAGCCTGGACAGGCCCTGTCGGAGCCCCTCGCCCAGGCTCTCGGGGAGCTGCCGCCGCCACTCCTCCTGCCGGTTGTAGTGCTCCTCATCCAGCGAGAGCCGGTCCATGTTCCGGGCCAGGCTTGTGGCCAGGTTGGTGATGGATGTGAGGGTACCTGAGGGAAAAAGGGCACAGGGTTGGCCTCCTTGTCACATATATCATGGACCCCCAGGCAGCAGTTTCGGAGGCAGCAGGAGCACTTGTGGCCCCTCCGGGACGTGCACAGTGGTGGGTGATAGTGGTTCCCTTTCAGGCAATTTGAAGCAAGAGCCTTAAGAAAAGAGGTAAACCACCGGGACCGTGGCTCACGCCTGCAATCCTAGCACTTTGGGAGGCCAAGACAGGAGGATTCCTTGAGCCTAGCGGTTTGAGACTAGCCTGGGCCACATGGTAAAATCCCGTCTCTAAGAAAAGTCAGAAAATTAGCTGGGTGTGGTGGTGCACACCTGTAGTCTCAGCTACTCAGGAGGCTGAGGTGGGAGGATCGCTTGAGCCCAGGACATCAAGGCTGTGGTGAGCTGTGATCACACCACTGCACTCCAGCCTGGGTGACAGAGTGAGACCTTGTCTCAAATAAAACAAGTAAATAAAATAAGATAGAAAATGAGGCAAAGATGAACACTTGCCCACAGGGGTGATGACACTCTTCAAAGGGTAAGAATCTCAGGCTCTAGAAAGCAGCCTAGAGTTTCACATGAAGCTATCCTTCACTATAATTGTCAAGGTTTGGTTAAAACAGTATTTGGCTCACGCCTGTAATCCTGCACTTTGGGAGGCCAAGGCCGGCAGATTACCTGAGGTCAGGAGTTCAAGACCAGCCTGGCCAACATGGTGAAACTCTGTCTCTTCTAAAAATACAACAATTAGTCGGGTGTGGTGGTGCATGCCTGTAATCCCAGCTACTTGGGAGGCTGAGGCAGGAGAATTGCTTGAGCCCAGGAGACAGAGGTTGCAGTGAGCTGAGATCATGCCGCTGTGGTCCAGCCTGGCTGACAGAGCGAAACTCTGTCTCAAACAAAACAAAACAAAACAAAACACAAAACAAAACACAACAAAACAAGACAAAACACCAGTTAGGACTGATGCCTTCACTGAAGCCCAATTTTGAAGGTTAAAATCTGCCTGTTCTGATTTTAAAGGGTAAGGTTATGTTGTTGATTTTTAAAAAGATTATAAATATTTCAACTTTAGGAATATATTTTATTCCTTCTCTATAACTTCAGTCATAACAAAGGGAGATACTAAACCTTATTGCTTGCCATTCTGAGGATGTAATTATTGTGCCATGGAGAATATGTACAGTTTTGATAGGATGTTAACTGAAAAAAGAGTCAGGGGAATAAAGGGGGTAAATCATGTGAGAGCCGTGAATCTGTCTGGTTTTCCTAAGAAAAGCTATTTTGGTATCTTGCTCACAACAGCCACAATTCCCTCTAGCAACTCTGCACATCTTAGTGAGCGAAACTGAGTTGAGTTTCATGGACAGATCTGGACGCTAACAAACTAGTTCATCTGTTATTGCAGGTCCAGTTTCAGGAAGAAATGGTCAATGTCGTTTTTGCAGCTGCATCTTTACCAGTAATCAGAAAAGAAAAATATCTGTGTGCGCCATACATACAGATACCAACAAACTAAACAGATTTTGCTAAGAGAAGGCAAGAACAAGTGTAAAAAAAAACATTCAATGAGTCAGTATGCTGAAAATACCGCTGCAGTTCAATTTAGCAGGTGTTGGTTGTCTTATTTTAACATAAAAACAACAGAACCACAGAGATTCCAGTGTCAAGAGTGAGCGGTCTGCCAGTGACTCATCGGATGAGTTTCTGCAGCTCAGCCCCTAGGCCTCCCAGATGATTTGAGGCCTGGGGGAGTGTCCTTTTCATTGTCCGTGGAACTTGTTTTTATGACTCTGGCTGTTCTCTTGCCAGTCCCCCACCCATAGTCCCTCACCCCCTCTATGGATCACGGATTCTCATATTTCAAGCTCAAGTCTTCTTTTGAGGCCTTCCAGAGACTTCCACAACCTGTCCTATGGCCTATGGTCAGATGCCTTTTATGGGGAAGAAGCCCTTTGCCCTGTTTTCCCTGCCTCCCGCTGAGAAGAAAAGGGGACTCAGATGGCCCTTGTTAGTTCCCAAGTCTCTGCCAACCTGACCAAAATAACATCAAGCAAACACACATGGATAAAACTAAAACACTGTCCTTGCGGGAAGCGCTTTGGTTTCTGTGCCCGATGACCCATCTGGGCCACAAGATGGCACTGTTTACGTGGCGTGCTAGAGAAAAGTTGGCTGTTTCATCACCAAATCCGCTTCCATGTCAGAATGTATTCATATCCTTAAGAAAGTTATGACAACTGTATCTACATTTAAAAAAATATGATGAGGCAACACAGTGTAGGGTTTCTGATGTTTAGCAGAAATCCTGAACATCTTTAATATTTCTGTATTTATCACATGGAATAACAATTGAGCCAATCCTTGTTCTCCCAATGGGAGGCTTAATATTCTGAAGTTTCTGAAACATTTTCACACACCACAGGCAAGTAGTGATCTGTTCAAAACATAAGACATTATATATGAGCTTTGTTGCAAATCCAAACTCTCACTGCAAGCTAACAGGCCAAACAAAGCTAGAGGCAATCTGAATGCATTTAAAACTTTAACACATTTAAAATAATAATAATAAATAATAATAATAATAAAAGACAGGGAAGGAGTGAAGGCATTATTACAAGGAACGGAAACCACTACCTTTGGAGATGTGCTTTACAAATGATGTGGTCCCTCTGGAGACGCCACTCACGAAAGCTCCGGGGCCCCGGGTCAGCCCCTCATACGGAAGCCTGAAGAAGTCAGCGACCCCGTTCCCGATGCTTCTCACTAGGCTCACAGGGCTGCCAAGAATCTCCAGAGAGCCAACTACCCAGCCTGCAACAGACCAGAGGGAAGGGGTGATTGAAATCTCAAATGCAGAACTTTCAACATTTGTGAAAAAGTGACCCATTTTTCCTGCAATTTTTTTTCACACTAGGGTTGGGAAAGTAATCATTTCTTTGGAAGAAAATAAGGGAAATAAGTCATTCCTGGTGAATTCATAAATGGCAAACTTTCATACTTTATATAAATCAAAGTGATCCTCTGATGGCCCCACAAATGGCTTTAATATGACTGCCTTGACCAGCCTCCCATGTTCCTGCTGAGAGGGGTCCACATGCTGGGGACACACTCTGCCATCACCTGAGGAAGGGTGCTTTCTTGGGCTGCAGGTGTTTGCAGGCGGGAGGTTCTCTCTGAAGCCTCCCCAGGGCAGCAGAGGCACCAGGATAGGAGGAGATACCTGGTTGGGGGCAGCCAGATGCTCAGTGGGGTGTCGCAAAGGGGATGCTAACTTCTGACAAGGATGGAGGGGTTGTTTTTAATCTTTCCCAATCCTAATGAGTTGAGTGCCTCCCTTTGGAACATAGCTAGAGCCAGACAAATGTCTCCCCTTCAACTCCAGCTCCGATTATGTAAACGCTAGTGACAGGGACACCTTTTTTTTTTTTTTTTTTCCCAGACAGACTCTCACTCTGTTGCCCAGGCTGGAGTGCAGTGGCGCAATCTCAGCTCACTGCAACCTCTGAATCCCAGGTTCAAGCTCAGCTCACTGCAACCTCTGAATCCCAGGTTCAAGCAATTCTCCTGCCTCAGCCTCCCAAGTAGCTGGGATTACAGGCACAAGCCACCATGCCCAGCTGTTGTGTGTGTGTGTGTGTGTGTGTGTATTAGAGATGGGGATTCACCATGTTGGCCAAACTGGCCTTGAACTCCGAGACAGGAACATTCTGATGAGGTTAGTGAGAGGGGAGTGTTCCCTGTGCATGTCCCAGGAGAGCAGCCTGGATCTGGTTCCTCCTGAAGCTCGGGCTGGCGAGGAGGTGGCTGCTGCTCTGCAGCTGCGCCCCATGGGAACGTGGCTGTGTGTGGAGTCCAGTGGGCAATACCCTTACTTGCTTCCCCGGGGTGGGGATTTGGGGCTGTAGACCCCAAGGACTGGAGAGGCAAGTGAGGACACAGGAGAGGAGGAGTCCAGAAAGATAGCTTTCTCCAGGAAGCCACTAATCTCCCCAGCCTGGTGCTCGGAGCCCTGTAATGGGAAGGGCATGGGGACAGGACTGGGTGGGAGCCATCCCTCCCTCACCAGCGGGCTCTGAAGTGGAGGACAATCCTGTGACAGAGACCCTCAGCTCAGGGATCTGCGGGGATCGGGAAGATGAAGGTACAAGAGCCAAGCCGAGGTCCTGAAGAATTCCATGCCCAGCCCATGTAGAGAGGGACATTCTTACATTTGGAGCCCTCCTCCCTTCTCTGGAATGTTAGGATGGTAACACTAGGGTTTAGGGCAAAGCAGGGAATAATTTCTGGAAGATAAAGACTACAAATTAGAGGCTCTATGGATGCCAGGCATTCCACACATTTAATTCTCACAGTAACTGCAAGAAAAGTATTCGCTCCCTTCAAATCAATGCAGGTTAGCTGGTGACTGAGCTGCTGCCTGGGTCCGGGAATGGGCGAGGCACAGGAGGCAGAGGGGAATGCGACATGGTGGTGCTGCTACCATGGCCTCACAGGCAGGAAAAGGGAGGCTGAGGCGTGGAGACTAAGCCACCTGCTCACCGTCTCCTGGATGATCAGCCTGTGGGCTGGGTTTCTAACCCAGTTTTCCTGATTCTGAAGCCCACCCACCTCTTCCTTCTGTAAGCTCATGCTGCAAAGAGTCAGCAAGGGAGCTGGAGAGGCTGTGGAATATTCCTCCGTGGAAGGACTTCTCTAGAGGTTAAGAAACAGCAGATTCCCTTTAGCATGGAATGGCTATAAGGGCAAACCTAAAGGCAGAAAGTTGGTCTAGAAACATATTAATTCCCCTTCTCACCAATGAGTCTATGTATAATAGAAATGAGAGTAGCCATGGCCAAGCAGAGTCCCCCAAGACAGGCCTGTTCGGGTGGGTGCCGCGGGCACAGGGGGAGTGGGAATCCAGCCTCTCGCTCCCGCCAGCGGCAGGCCCTCCCCCGTCCTGTGGGCCACATGAAGGGTGGGGTTGGAGCCCTGGAAGCCTGAAGCCACTGCCTGATGGAAGGGCTATGTGTAGGCCAGAGCTACACCTCAGTAGCATCTGAGCTGGCCAGAAAAGGGCAGACAGTATCCAGAAGTCCTCCTTTATTGTCCTCCAAAAGCGAATCTATCTTTTGCTCATCCGTTTGGAAATTGTGTTGGGGAAGAGAGTCTGCCTAGCTCCCATCACACTGAGACTTGGGGTTGGAGAGGGGCCTGGGGAAATGATAAAGGCCACATGCTTTCCTTCAGATAGGGTCAGTTACTAATTTCCAACTACTGTTTATTTGTATTTTTGTTTTTATTCTGCCTCTTTCACCCATAATTTTTTTTCTTTTTAGTTGTTTCTTTATTTTTAAAACCTCTTCCAGTTGATAACACAACTTTCCTTAACCTAGAAATGAGGTCAGGGTGTTTTCCACTACAGGCAGGGGCCCTCTGACCCAGGTGAGATGTACGTGGGCAGCTTGCCCCCCCTGCAGCCAGCCCTCCCCCTCCCCTTAGAAGGATGCTAACCTGGGAGTCTGGAGCCTCAGGAGCTTCCCATTTCCTACTCCTTCCATCACTGCTTTCTTTCAGATGGTCTTCAGATCGCCCATAGATTTTTAATGACTGTGTTTCCAACAGGCTCTGAAAACTTGGCCCACTGCATTAGAATCCCTAATCTTGGTATACAGTGAGATTAGAATGTCAGCTTAAGGGGATTTTTAGGTGAATTGTATAAAATTCAAATAGAATGTTCTTGTGAAAGCTCATTAAAAATATAAACCAAAACAAAGAGAGCTCGTTTTTAGCACATGGCTGCAGGGACAGTTACTTGGTGCCACAGGTCAAGCTTCCCTGCAGCTCACCGCACTGCAGCGTTGTGCAGAGACTGAATGGGAGCCACCGTCCTTGCCAGGCCTCAGACTGGAGCTCAGAAACCCACGTGCCTTCTTCTCACGTGAAAAGCAAAGGCTCCCTGAAGGGAAAGTTTCTGGAATTGTATATAAATATACCTATCTATTAAATTTGAAATGTGAACTGCTTATTTTAAATGAGTTTTTAGCATGAGGGAAACGCTTTCTTCGTTGTTGTGCAAGGTATCAAGACAGCAGGTCCCGCAGGACCCTTTCCCTGATCTTGTCATTATCTTTTATAAAAGAGTCTAGATAACCCTAGTAAGTCTATAAATTTCATTATGGAAAAAAATGTAATCTTACCAATATGGCAACAACACAGGTCCATTTACTGCTACAATCTTAATCTTATATGGGAATGCATTCACCAAGTACAACATTACAAAGAGGATAGAACAAAGGTTCTCTCCTCTGCTACTTTCAGAAAGTAAGATTTCCATGTTCTTTATTGGAAAGGGCTGACAAGACTAACTCTGGATGCTGTTCTTTGCTTGAATTCCTGGGATCCCAATTATCAAACTAAATCTGCTTTAGAGTGAACTTGGCTCCGGAGCACACAGTGTGATGCCAATTACTGTAACATATCCTGAGATCACATGGTTCCCACCGCTCAATTCTTATTTAGTTTTTGGGACAAGGTCTTGCTCTGTCACCTCTGCTGGAGTGCAGTGGTGTGAGCATAGCGCACTGCAGCCTCGAAGTCCTGGGCTTGAGGAATCCTCCCATCTCTGCCTTCCTAATAGCTGGGACTACAGGTGCATGACACCACATCTGGGTAGTTTTTTTAACCTTAAGTTTTTGTAGAGATGAGGTTTCACAGTGTTGGCCAGGCTGGTCTTGAACTCCTGTGCTCAAGTGATCCACCTCAGCCTCCCAAAGTGCTGGGATTACAGGTGAGAGCCACTGCACCCGCTACCCACCAGTCAGTCTCTAGTCTACAGTAGTACCTCTATGAAATTTTGTATGTATGTTCAAGCCACCCCCTACAGACGTTTCCAGCCAGACTGAAAAGGGAATCCTTACCTTTCTCACTGAGTCCCTGAGAAACAGCAGTCCTCAGCCTGCAAGAGGCCACTTGCCTGGCCCCAGAGAGTGGTAAGGCCAGATCAAGGGCCATTCCTTCTCTTTGAGCTCAGGTCTATGGAGAGGCCGAGACACCCACAGCTTTCCCTTTACCAGCTGTTTAGACAGGCAATGCAGCACTGGATAGATAGAGGGCTCAATGTGTGTCTTACGAGCACACAAATCCTCTCAATTTCTCACCTACTGCTATTCATGAACAGCAATGAAGAAAACTAATAAAACGAGAACTGGACTCCTTTGTAGGCCCAGGGACTGAAGACCTGGGCTAGTTCTCTTGGTTGCTCTAGTGTGCTAAGAAAGGGCTCTGTGCTTGCAAGGCGCTAAAAAAGTGTTTGCTAAACTGAACTAAAATTCTAAGTTATAAAACAGCTACTACTGCTGAATGTTTATTAAGTGCCAAGCAAAATGCTGGGTACCTCACATATTTTCATCTGTCCGCTCAGAAATCTTCAAAGCCATTTTATCGATGACAAAATGGAGACTCAGGAAGGTTCAATAACTTGCCCGAAGTCTTACACTTAACAGCGGCAGGCTCTAGATTTAGATCCAGTTCTGTGTAGCTGTAAAGCTCACGTATATCACCTCTAGCCAATGGCTTCCTTAGGTCTTGAAATGAGGTGCTACCCCAAAGCGTGTCATTTCTACCCAGGCTCTAGCTCATCACAGACCCTCAGCTTGTGTCCTTACCTGCTCTAAAAAGGGCCCCAGCAGCATAGTGCATTGCCAGTGCGTGCACAAGCTGCCTTGCAGTGGTGAAGATGGGTCCTCTTTCAAACACCGAGAAGGAGAGAGGAGTGTGGTCCGAGGCTATGTACAGCTTAAGGGAAGCGTGGATACTGACAAGCAAATTCACCGGCTGGATCACCAGTTTCCGTAACTTCACAGGATTCACCAAGGCCCTGGCGTGCTGTGTGACCTGCACGGGCAACATCTGTTTATCCCTGGAGAGGTGCGTGGAGTGACCAGCCAACCCGCTGTTAGGAAGGTAAGTGTCAAACAAAGTCTTGATGTAATATACAAATGTGTCTTCCACATATAACCGAGCAGGTTTTAATTCAAAGCTGAACTCGTTAATATCACAGAGGATGCTCCTGCCTTCACTTAAGGTGATGCAAAGTTTGATAAAACATTTTTCCTTGTATTCTTCCAAATCTTTGTTGGATATGAAGAGACTCTGCATTTTAGAACACTGAATGGGTTCTGCTTTTTCTCCCTGGCAGACTAAGACAGCAAAGTGGAAATTGGACTTGTTATAAAGCTGGTTGTCTAGCTGCAGGTCCCCACAGTAGATCTCTACACAGTAAAATTCAAACAATGCGGCCACAGGCTCTTCCCTAGGGAGGGGACCAGCCTCCGGGGCCATGCGAAGAAAAACATTGTCCAGTGTGAGTCTCAGAAGCTCAGCTGATGCTTTGTGGTGGGTGAGGTCATCAAACACTGCCAGGCTCAACTGAGTGATGAACATTTTGAATGTAACGATCTTCTCCAGGGCTCTAGAGGAGAAAGGGAAAAGAACATTAGTCTCCCCCACTGCCTTTTCTTTTTTCTTTCTTTTTAAATGACAGCTCCCTATTAAATACCTCCTGATGGGACATCAGATTCTCATAAGAAACAAGAACTTAATTTTCAGTACATTGTGTCTGGACAGAGCCAGTCACACTCCAACAGTATTGGGAAGTGTTCCCAATGGGACGATCACAGCTTCTTGTCATATTTCTGTATGTTTCCCTTATCAACACCAGATTTTTACTACAAAATCACTCTGGTCTTTGTGTACTGATTCTCTATCATGATGATCACAAGACAGAGATAATAAAATAACCAAGACTCCCTAGATTGAGAAAGTGATGCGGGCAGAAGAAAACTCAGCAGAAACTCCGGCCACAACTGTCCACCAACCACTCCTGAGTCCATGTTCAGCTCTTCCCCATCTCCAGTTCTGGGGGAAAACCACCCATGCTTCTGTCTTAGGTGAACCCCTCCAAAGTGCACCAAATCACTCTGCTGTCACCTACTCAAGGACATCCCTCCAGCAACTCACCCCTGTCTTCCATCATCCTTTTCTTCATTACTAGCAGATTGTAAACATGCTGTCATTTCTCAGCTCAAAAAGTCCCTCTTCTGACTCTACTCTCCTTTAGCTACCACTCATTTTTCCGATCCTTTCTACATGGACGCTCTACAGTGTGTTCTATACACATTGTCTCCAGCTCCTCTCCTTCCCTGCTGTCTAAGGCTTGCTCCAAGCAGCCTTTTGTGCTCCTACCCCCAGCCTAACAAAACAACTCTTGTCAAGGTCACCAGTGACTTCCATTTGGTTACATCAAATGATGGACTTTTAGGTTTTTGCTTATTCGACCTACTAACAGCATGTGATATTGCTGACAACTCCCTCCTCCTGGAAATTCTTTCTTTCCTGTCTTCTCTCAGCTCTTCTGCCTCTCTGAACACTCATCTTCATTTACCTATGCAGATCCCTCCTCCTCCCCTGACCTCTTAGAGCGCCTAAGGCTCAGTCCTTGGTCCTCTTCTCATCCCCATCTTCACTGACTTCCTTGGGGATCTCATTCAGTCTCACGAACTGAAATACCATCTATTTGTTGATGACTTTCAAAGCATATACTTGGCCTGGACCTCCCCTGAACTCAAATCTTGTGTATCTAACTGCCTAGCTACACAGTCACTTAGATGTCTATAACCAATCTCTTGATCTTACCTACTGAGCCTGCAGATAGTCTCTCTCATCTTAGTTACTGGCAACTGTATCCTACCAGTTGCTCAGACTAAAAATGTGGGTGTCATCCCTGATACCTGTATTTTTAGCATTATCCAATGTATTAGGAAAATCCCACTGACTTTTCCTTAGAAGTATATCCAGAATCTGACCGTTTCTGACACTTCCACTGACGCCACTGTAGTCTCAGCCCTCATATCTCTAATGTGGGCAACTGTAATAATCATGTCCTAACTAGTCTCCCTGCTTGCTTGTGCCCTTGCTTCTCTATAGTCTACTTTAACAAGCAGTCAATGATCTTCTAGAAATTTAAGTCACAGGGTGTCATTTCTATGTTCAAAATGCTCCAATGACTTCCTCATTTTCCTTAGAATTAAAGCTTAGCCCTTCAGTGGCCCATGAGGTCTCTCTCCTTCTAGCTTTTACCCCCTGGACCTCATGCACTGCTGCTTCCACTTCCACCCGCTCCGCCAGGCCCACAACAGCCTCTTCCCTGCTCCTCCACAATGCCAGGCACGTTGCTGTGGACTTTGAAATGGCTGTGCCCTCTGCCTGGGAAGCTCCTCTCAGACAGTCACATTACCAAACCCCTACTGCCTTCCAGTCTCTGCCCAAATATCAACTTCGCAGTGTGGCTTACCTACACCAATTTGTTTAAAACTACACTCTCCTGGTCCTTCCGCCCTGCAGTCCCAGTCCCTCTTACTGAGCTCTGTTTTCATCCCTGTAGAATGCTAGCCTTCTATTGCACCATAACATTTCCTTTCTTATAATGTTTACTTTCTGCACCCCTCAACACCCCACCCAATTCCATGCCTAGCAGGAGAAAGTCATCTTCCCCAGGGCAGGAGTGGGCTGTTTTATTAATGGGTGTATCCCTGTCCGGTGCTAGGCATCCAGTAAGCCATTGAAAAACATTTGTTGAATGAATGAAGGAAGTTCCAAGAAATACTTGTACCTTTCTCATGATAGGTTGCTTCTATTGTCATTAACATTTATGCCCTAGATAAAATGTTTCTAAAATTGTTGAATAAACTGAAATTTTGTGCTATACTAGTTAAAAGTTAGTCTCCAATTTTGTTATGCTATTAATTTTTATGAACATTTTTGGGCAAATAAAACATTCTATCCAACATTGTTTGAAATATTATAAATCCAAATTAGCAGAGTCCAAATTAATGAATTCTTAACCATATATGAGAAGCAATGAACTTTTTTTTTTTTTTTTTTTTTGAGACGGAGTCTTGCTCTGCCACCCAGGCTGGAGTGCCGTGGCACGATCTCGGCTCACTGCAACCTCTGCCTCCCAGGTTCAAGCGATTCTCCTGCCTCAGCCTCTTGAATAGCTGGAATTACAGGTGCCCACCACCACGCCTGGCTAATTTTAATACTTTTAGTAGAGACAGGGTTTCGCCATGTTGGCTAGGCTGATCTCAAACTGCTGACCTGAGGTGGTCTGCCCATCTCGGCCTCCCAAAGTGCTGGAAATACAGGCATGAGCCACCATACCTGGCCACAATGAACTTTTTAGAAGAAAGATTTAAACAAATGTATGAAAGTTGGTGGTATTTATATTTTAATATTAAGGTATTTTTTCTGATTATATAATAAATGCTATTATAAAAAATCAAAATAAATTATAATTATATATTAAATAACTCATTAACCCCACATCCATTACCAATTTTGATTGCTTCTTTTCAGTCTTATTTATAGGAATGTTTTCTGTGTGTGTATGCATACATATGTACTTATGTGTGTATGTATGTATAGACAGCACATAACTAGGATCATATTTATATATTCAATATTATATTCGGCTTGCTTTATTTTACATTATATAATATGCATTTTCTAGTCCATTAAAATCTTTGAGGTCTACTTTTTGTGGTTGTGACATTTATAGTACAATAACATATCATCTATTTCCTTATGGATGGGCATTTTTACTTTGAATATTTTGCCATTGTAACTGTGTGCCATCTCTCACTGTGTACACCTCTCTGTGTATATCTTTGCCCACTTCTTTAATTATTTCCTTAACTCTTAAATGCTTAACACACTTAAATGTGGAATTTCTAAGCCAAAGGGATTTTAATTAAAGTTCCTAACACATATTACCAAAGTGCTTTCCAGAAAATAGTACCAATATGTACTTTCACCAGGACTCCATATAAAACAGCATTGTTAATTTTATAAATTAGCATTTCTTTATTTATATTTCTTCTTCTTAGAATTTTCTGTTCATGCCTATTGCCCCTATTTTTGTTTCTGTAAGGCCATCTTTATATTATTCCTATTGAATTATGTGAATTCTTTTAAATTAGGGATATTAATTCTTTCTCTGTTTCATGTCTTTAAAACCTGATGGCAATATTCAGGTCAAAGTGGGGGCAAATATGGCCCTAGAAGGCATATTTATATTTGATGTAGCTCTAATTGCTAAGCTTTATTATTAATTACTAAATTGTCATGCAGGTGCAGCAGTATTAATGTGCATTTCATGCTAATAATAGTGGTATAATTCCAAGATGTATAGTGTGTAAATCAGTTTGTTAAACTTACCACAGAGTAGAAATGGTATCCATGAAAGACGGTATATTGCTGCCCACTGAAGGTATGATTTAATGCTAATAACCGTATTTTTATGGATTACACGATGGTTAACCAAAAGCTTTAATACACATGTAGAGATGACAAAGAATGGTAAATAGGAAGTTTACAACTTTGTAACAGGAAAGCTTACTATGTTTTTACAGGGAAAATAACTAAACCTACCTGTTGGTATTAGTTACAATAGGTCCTGCTTTTCCTTCTGGGGCCACAGTGATGAAGACTGTGCCACACTGATATACAATGTCCACATACACATAGCCAAAGCCAGTCAGGAACACAACCTGCAGAAAGAGTATTCAAAATCTAATTAAAAAGAAATAAGAAACACTACTAAGTGGCTTGACTTCAAATGTCTTCAGGTCTGATACAATACCACAAACAATTCCTGGTTATATTTCTTTATATCCATGTGGACAGGCTATTTAGTTGACTTGAAAAAAAAAAAGAAACAAAAAATCAAATCCAGATTTTTCAATATTCAGCTGTAAGGTTCATAGAAAAAAATGATGGATGATGGGGCATGAGTGTCTTCATTCTCTGCTTCTTTGGAATTGGCAAGTAACTCTGTGTGGGCTGGAGTCCAGACATGGGGCCCGCCTTATGTGTACATATGAATCGTTGTGGAAAAAAACCTAAAACTCGGGACTTGAAGTGCAATGTGCAAACAACTTTCAGGCTCTTGGGTGCTGACTTACTATGATGGGTGTGTGTCCTTCTGGGCTGGGGACACAAAACATACCTCAAAACCCACCTAAAAACATACCACAATCCCTCCAATGTCTTTCACATAACTTGTAACAAGAAAGTTAGATAAGTTATTTTGCTCGGGGTAAAAAATTAATTTTTCTACCATGGGAAGGTAGACTAAGACCTAAAAAATGTTCTACCTCAGGATCCAGGTGCCAGGCAGCAGAACAAATACGCTTTCAGCATTAAACAGCGAGCTGCTTAAATGGGCAAATATTTGAAAACAGCACAGGGCTATTTAAAAAAAAACTCCAAGAACACCATGTTCACAGCCAGGATTATCTGAGGGTAGGGGCAAAAACTCCTTATGCTTTGGGAAGGTTGCTTCTAACAATTTGCAGTATCAATTCAGTCCAAGTCTGGGCCCTTTGTTATTGTTAGGACAGCAAATAAAAGCAGACAGACTGAAAATTCCTGGATGAAGAAACAAAGGTAGGCTCTTGTTTGACCAATAATGAATGTGTTCTAATTTTGATCACACGAAGAAGCACCAGACAGAGTATACATAGAACCACAGGAGAAAGTCACAGACTCACATTTGGAAGCAACTTCAAGGTCATGGGGCTTCTTTCTCATGCACTTCAGAAATTCAGAATTTCTGACCATCTTCGGCATCTAGGTTACCTGGATGTCATCTCTGCCTCCTCCCTCTTCTCCTTTCTGCAGCCCAGCCCCTCCAGCTCTGCCTGGTTCCTCCACTGCTGTCTTCTTTTTCTTTCTACAGCCTCTGCTTTAGCCAATGCCCTTGTCTGCGACTCAACGCTCACAAGTCTAGAATGTACTTTTCCCCATACAAGTCCTTTCAAAAGCCTATATGTCCTTGTGCATACAGCTTACAGGATAGCTTACTCCATAAAGCTATTCTTTAATTTTTCCATTCCCTTCGGGATTGACACCTACTTCCACATTCTAAAAAACACTTTAACCATATTTCTATTTGACCACAAATTTTATTGTCTGTACTAGTTACTTGTTTATGTGCCTGACCTAATTACTAGATTGTAAACTTCTTGACAGCAGAAATGGAGTCCATTTGTTGTATCTGTTTTCTCTATGAACATGTTTTCCAAATGGATTGTTTTGCAAAAATATGTTTCAAAAGTCTCTGTATTCTGAATTTGCCCTATTTATTCCATGGTAAAAATTAAAACTTACAATAAAATTTGAAAATAAAACCTAATTAATGGCTTAAAAATGGCTCAGCTCATGAATCTACAACAAAAGACATACTCTTTAAGAAATATTCCCATTTATAAATGCCATCCCTTTGAATGATATATAAGGTAAATCAATTGCTTTTATTAGGTTGATACAAAATTATCCATTCAGTAGAAACCTTTTTAAGGCCCATGCTCCCGTCTCACATTCCTCTTTCTAAGCCACCTTCCATAACTTCAGGGCCCCTTAGAGGAGAGAGGGTGGGGGTGTGAATTGAGAAATATTTACTGCTCTGCTCATTCTCCAAGTGATCTTCAGGCCTTATGAAATGAGGATACTTATACTTTCTAAGATAATAAACCTAAGGTAAGCTGATGGTTTCTGTTAAATGATCCAAGGGCCTTCTGAAGGCAAATTAACCTGTGAACTCTTGCTGTACATCTTCTGGCCAAAAGTCTAGACTCTGGAGGAAAATTTTTGCTTGGTATCTCTTTCACTCACTGCTAAGAGTGAAAGAAACACAGACTTTAGTTCTTGGAGCCTTTAGTCCTTCTCACTTTTAGAGAAACAACTCACACCTGAGCTGTTAGTTGAGTCTACGGGTTCACGTTAGGTACCTGATAGAGGAATTAGGCATCTATATCCAGGTTCCCCACAAGCCCAAAGTAAATCCTTATCTTGGTCTAATAGTTTGAATAATCAATTACCTGACAAACACTTAAAGAGTGTCTACAAATAATTAGTCACTGAATCAGGCACAGAGAAGATACAATCCTACCCTTGCATTGCTCACTGCCCAGTTGGTGAAAAAGACAAGTACACAAACAATGAGGCGATAACTAACATTTCCAGAGCAGAAGTGTATAAAATGCTTTTCCCTCTCAGTGTATTCACCATCATGGACTCTGCATAAGCTCCATGAGGGCACTGGTTTTGTGTCTGTTTTCTTTATTACTTACAACCAATGCCGGGTACTCAAAAAAGACAAGGCAGATGATCTGAACAGACATCTTCTCAATGTGGCTTCTGCTGTACTGACTTCTAATGTCCACCCATGTCTAGCTCTTCTCTCCTTCTGGGAACAGAGGAGGATTATACTTTCTGTAACCCTGCAGTTAGATATGGTCTTATGACTAGTTTTGGCCAATGGGCTAAAGGCAGAATTGACATGTATTATTTCTAGAGAATAAATAAAGGTTTTATGTTCCACAGCTCAGTGGTGGGGCAAATCTGGTCCACTGCCTGCTACTGTGAATAAGGCTTTACTGGAACATGGCTCATTTACTTACATATATCTCTGTCTAATGAGAAGTTGGGAAAATGTATGGACTGCAAAGCCTAAAATATTTACAATTCAGATCTTAAAAAAATATTTGTTGACTCCTGCTCTAGATAGCTGTAGAAGACTGTTGCATTATCAATGAATTGTACATCCCAGTATCCATGTCCTTGTGTAGTACCTTCCCATACTGACGTTGGGCTTGGCTGTGTGACTTTCTTCAGCTAACATGACATTAGCAAAAAAGCAGCTTGCTACAGCTTGCTCATTGGGGCTTTCCCACTTGCCACCCTGTGAGGAAGCCTGCACTAGCCTCCGTAAGGAGGACAGACAACATGGTGAGGGAGATGCCCAGACTTCCCAGCTGAACCCATCCCTCAGCCAGCTCTCCAGCTGAATGCAGATGCATGAGTGATCTCAGACTTATCATTCAGAAAAGTCACCTGGACAATTCCTCAGAATCATGAGAAGTTGTTAATCATTCTTCTTTTAAGCCAGTAGGTTTTGGGGTGGTTAGTTACAAGGGGGAAGATATGAGATAATGGACTTTCCATCAACCTGGGTCCCTGAGTGACCATGTGGCACAGAACATTTGAGGATACACACTAGGCATGTAGCATGAACAAGAAGTAAGTTCTAGGCTTATGTATGACAGGCAGCATAACTGAGTTTATACTATTAATATAGATATTGGTGACAGAAGTAGTGTTCTAACAAAATACTGATGTATGAGACCCTGGCTTAATGGTCAGACAGTAGTAATTGATATTTAAAGCTATAAAAATGGGCATATATGTTTTGAAGTGGTAAGACATTTAGTAAAACTGTTGCTTGAGATGACTGGGAGGTATATCATAAAACGATAAATCTGTAGCTCTAGAAGATGAAGTCTGAAAACCAAACATCAGTAATGTTGCATCAGCTGCTGTCGCCTGTGTCTGGAACACTACTATGTTTTGTTTTATGAAGAGATGAGCTCAGGAAAGAATTGGCCAGGTTGCAAATAAAAATCAAAGATAACAGATTCCGGAAATTCAGAACCTTGAAAGTTAGAATTTTTTTTCCTTTAGACGCAGTCTCACTCTGTTGCGCAGGCTGGGTGCAGTGGCACAGTCTCGGCTCACTGCACTCTGCCTCCCAGGTTTAAGCAATTCTCTGCCTCAGCCTCCCGAGTAGCTGGGATTACAGGTGCACGCCACCACACCTGGCTAATTTTTTGTATTTTTAGTAGAGATAGGGTTTCACCATCTTGGCCAGGCTGGTCTTGAACTCCTGACCTCCTGATCCACTTGCCTCAGCCTCCCAAAGTCCTGAGACTACAGGCGTGAGCCACCAAGCCCAGCCCAAAGTTAGAAATATTTTTAAACCTGCTATGGTCTGAATGTTTGTGTTCCCCCAAAATTCATATGCTGAAATTCTAGTACCCAAAGGTGATGTTATTAGAAGGCAGGGCCTTTGGGATGTAATTAGTATTCTAAAAGAAACCCGAGGAAGCCCCTCATTCCTTTCATCTTGTAAGGTTACAGTGAAAAGACCGTCATCCACGAACTAGGAAGTAAGTCCTCACCAGATACCGAATCTGACAGTTCCTTGATGTTGGAATTCGTAGACTGCAGAACTGTGACAGTAAGTTTCTGTTATTTATAAACTACCAGTTTGAGGTATTTTGTTACGGCAGCATGAACAGACTAAGATAAAACCTGAAACAGCAAGGTCTAAAATTAGAAAACCTCTAAACACAAAGGCAGATTAACACTCAGCCTTAGGACTGACTATAGGCAACATACTCACTATTAAAACTTCTTTCTTTTTTTTTTTCCTCCTGTAGAAAATTTTAATTGAATCAAAATTTTTTTCAGTTGTGTGTGTGTGTGTGTGTGTGTGTGTTTTATTTTTTATTTCATTTTAGGTTTTGGGGTACATGTGAAGAACATGCAAGACTGTTGCATTAAAAACTTCTTAACTGTTATGTTGACTTGGAAAAAAATGTAGATCAAGGGTATAACTTTCCTATAGAAGCTCTCTTAAATCCAGAGAGGAAGGAAGCACGTTAGCAAAGAAATGTGTCTTAAGGTCTATGGATGTGGTTTTTGGCAC